CGATGGTGCCGATGAAGCAGATTCAGTGGCCCAGGAGGAGGAGGAGGAGGATGACAGTGCCGATGAAAGAGATGGCTTTGGCGCTAGCGTTGTGGACATTGAATGGCTCACTGAGGACGAAATCTCGGAATTTTGAGATGTGACTTTGCTGATGACCGAAGAAACTATGGAGCTGGCGACGCCGACCCGGGATGTTGAGATGGCTGGAGAGGTCGCCGCCACACTCGATACCAGTTTGCTAGGTGTCCTGTACGATGTCAACGCTACGGTCATGGGTTTAAGGGGTTGTAGTATTATACTCACGAAGAAAGCTGAGTTGAGTCTATTGGCGACCCCAGGAGGGATCCAAGAGAGCGGTGATGATCTTCCTTTGGCAAACCCGAGATAAACTGCCAAGCATCATCGGGAACCGATATGTCTGGGACACCATCGATGATGCTCCCAATGGATGTATCGCGCGTTGAAGGAGGCAAACCGTGGATCCAAGATCGAACCGAAGAGGGACACGCTCCAGCTACCGTCGGTTGGAAGGAGTGGTGTATACAATGATCATGCACGAATCCAAGATTCTTAGCATGATGAATCGGAGGCAGACTTTTGAACCAGGCGAGCACATCCTTGGGCATCGACAATTTTGAAATTCCCTTGACAACGTTTCCAATGGGCTCCTTACGCATTGATTCGTGCAACCCGTCAAGCCAAGTCCAGACTCGAGATGGGCAATGTAAAGAATTATGGATTGGGTGCAAAGCAGCTTCAGATCTCTTCTGATGAGAAGATTCTCTTCCACCTAATGATTGGCTGGAGAGAGGGGCAAGATGATCGCCATGATTTGGAGGCTGGGGTGCATCTCTTCGCAGGATGTTTGCGCTGTCGAAAGCTGTAGAGGTAGCAGAAGGTGTAGACCCAACGTTGGCGTTCGCTGCACAGCCAGAGGCGAATACAGCGATTGCTACGACAACACCCCGGGAGAGGTGCATGTTGAAGGATTTTTTTCAAACCGAGCGTGGGCTTTTGCAAATTGACGAAATCCAAGAGAAAGATCGTAAATGTGCGATAAAGTGTAGAGAAAATTGAGATCAACAAGGAGAGGACGAGGGGTTTTGAATGCAACGTAACGCTTGAAAGTTCATCTACGCGAGCCTCTAGTATAAAGGACCGATTGAGGACCCGAATGTTGTTGACGTTAGCCTCGCCCCTATTTTCCTCGCTAAAGGCGCGCCGCGTCCGGGGCTTCCGCAATGGAGATAGTATCCGGCTTCAGTCTGCGCTTGTAGCACTGGACCCCGTTCAACTAAAAGCTTCATGACCTACTACATTTTCAAAAATGATACAATCATGATGCAACTCGTATTTCTCGACTTAGCTAGCACCCAAAATATCTGCGTTCCACCCACTAAAAATAGATACGTCAGCAACCCATTGTGTTGAACGCAACAAGGTGGAGAAAGAGAGAGCTTCGAACATGGCACATGTGCTTAAACCAAACATTGCTCCCGGGTAAGGATGATATGGAATCAAGACTATACGTACTCTTTCCTCGTAGTCAGGGACAATCGAGCTGACGATCACTTTGACTTCGGGAAACACCTTCGTCAACCTCATCAAGCCTGGGAATTAGGTGGTCAGCATTGACTCGAGCTGAATCCGTTCTCTGAACATGTGAGACGATCCAGGACGAGGAAACCAGGGGATCTTCCAACGCTTACCCATTCTACCTGCTAGGTAAGTAACGAAAACTATCTTTTCTTCAGGGACACCATGATCAAGCAGAACTTGGACGGCCATCAAAGCAGCGCCCCCACTGGACATCTTTGGAATAGTCAGCATCTACATTTTATAGTCTCACCGGGTAATAAATTGCCTGTGAGTATCATGAACCCACCTGCGGATCGAGTAGCAGGACACTATCGTGTGTTTCAATATGCTCTGGAAGCTTGAGATAATGCAATTCCGGTTCTCCATTTCGTACGTTCGACTGAATCAACAGCCTTCCTGTCCGGCAGTCTACCCGAAAAATTAGTTCTCGGGTGTTTCCGTGTTAGAAGAGTGATGCCGGGGTTTGGAGGGTGTCCATGGGGCGCAAATTGCTGACCTGGTAGAACACGCTTTAGGCCATTCTCAAACGCAGCGCCTGCACGAAGAATGATAACCGCGCTAGTCTCGCCGGTTGCTTGCAAGCCACTGTATTTATTGCCCGCCGGCGTTTCGATAGTCTTCGCTTTAAAGTAAACATTGTTCATTGCACTGAGCCGGCGTTAGTCCAACTATCCCCGCTGCTCGTGCCAAAAGCCTCCTGAACATACTTCTCGATCAGCAATGTTGAGAGCCGATCAAAGTAGAATATGAAGTCTTCAGCAGACGTGTCAATATCTTGGATTATTGTGTTCATGCCTCGGAGTTGAGGAGTCTGTGCCAGTAAGATAACTCTCTTAGACATGACCTCATCCTCACTGTTCTGCATCAATGCGTCAGCCATGGTTTGGTTCTTCTTGTTTGCCGCCGATCCAGCGCGCACTTTTCATTTGCGTATTAGATTATATTGGGCGACGGAAATTAGGATTTTGGAACAGATGCAGGGTCTGCATTCAAGACTAAATCTTGCTTGTATTTCCAGCCACTCGAGGAGAACAACACATAATCCACGTACCTGACCCAGCTTCTTGAGCTCATCTCGATGAGCTTTAGACTTTTCAATCAGTCTACGCTCAATGTACATGATTACCATTTCTGAATTGTCAGTTTTTTCTTACAGGGACAGATCAAGTTACCCACTCATGGCAACCCGGTTTTCCACTCCTCTCGGGACAATGATATCTGATAGAAGTATTAGCGAGGGGAGTAATTCGCGAAGATGGTCATAACTTACCAGCAACCTTTCTTTGAGGCTCAACGTACTGCTCAAAGTTTGGCTTCACGTACAGAAACCATTGCTTGATGCAACCTTCGATGTCCCTACCGCGCTCGGCGACATCTCTCAGTACTGGAAATCAAGTCAGCTCCTAACCTCTAACCAGAAAGGGTGGCGATATACTTCTTCGAGACAAGCATGTATCGGCATCTGCCTCGCAAAATATCTGGACAGGAGACGATAAGTTTCACACGATGAAAAATGGGTAGAACACAATCGCAAAATACCTTGACATCGAGCAAACTCGAAACTCGCTCATCGTATAGAGCGAATATACCTTCCAGGATGAGAACATGTGGAGAGTAGATTGACGTTGTCTCTTTCTCTCGGGCGTGCTTAGCAAATGAGTAGATGGGGATTTCTGCTCTCCTTCCAGCCTTGAGATCTCTCAAACGGTCAACCAAGACATCAAAATCAATAGCTGCCGAAAAAAGGGAAGTCAGCAAACGATTGTCTGTTGCATTTTGCGAGAGCAGTTTTGGGATTAGTTGATCGCTTTTGCAACAAATAAAAGAAGGGCCGGACCATCAGGGGAATCGAAGTCATATTCATTACGAAATGCTTTCCTCGATGATTCTTCGTCCAGGGTTTTGTAGAAAGAGTCCTGTGTAATTGTCAATATCTTACGGAGAGCCAGGAGGGCCAGTACGCCGTGTGTACCATCGATAGAATGACCACCCATGGCAAGCTGAGCTTCGACACGATAGCGTGAGATAAAGTCGATTTCCCAGATCCGGAGGAGCCTGCAATTCCGATTATCGAGACATTGGCCCATGGAGGAGAGTAGTGGGCTCTGTTGCTCACGAAACCCGTCATGTTTACAGCTCTGCGGGAATGAGTTGTACTGTAAAGTTGACGACGACGACGACGACGACGACGACGACGACGACGAGACGATGACAAGACAACCACAATCACAACTGCCAGGAGGTGAATTCGGCAAAGGCGAACGCAAGTATCACGAGATCATGGCTAGAAAGAGTAGATAAGTCACGTTCGACTCGACTCGACTCGACTCTCGACTCTCTAAGTGCTGGAAATCATGGTAGTGTCACGTGGACATTCCATAAAGAGCTTAGCGCTGGCCTGCCACTAGTCTTCCCCTACTTCGTAGTATCCAGCTGCAAAAAACTCGAAACCCAATTTTCTTCTCCAACTCCACCATCATTGTTCGAGATAGTTTGCAAGCGCAGTGTTCGCAGTGCTGGAAACTCCGGCCTTTCCGTACACCTGCTAATGAAATATCCTCAAGAGACTAGATGAGCAGTGCAGCTGTCAGAATGGTCAGTACACCGCAGCCAAACGCAGCCAAACGCAGCCCACCGCAGCCCAGCCCAGCCTGGAGCTCGAGCTCAAGCTGACCGATACCAGGCTTCCTCCACAGCTTCGACCACTACCCCATCCTTCCGACACAACTTCGAGAGACGCGTGGAGGATGTGAAGCCACTGAAAAGGTACGATGACCAGACTGTTTCAGAGCTTCATTCGCTCTCGACCCTTCGCGCTTCGAGGCAGACACCTTTAAATGATGACTTTTTATCAACTGGGAATCTCTCCTAAAAATTACGCATGCGGAGAACAAATTTAGTTGCCTATCTGATCCATTGCCTCGAAGCGCACAACCGTCCCTCTCGGGGTTCTGTCTAGACGAGAACATTGCTGACGATTGCTTCTATCGATAGTGACATCAACTCTCTCATCTTCGACTACCTCACCACTGAAGGTTACCCTTCTGCCGCTGCGAAGTTCTCCAAAGAAGCGAATCTCAGACCACGGCAGGAGGAAGACTTGTTGAGGGCTCGGCGCCAGATCCAGCAGTTTATAAACTCGGGGGATATAGAGGAAGCGATCAAGGCCCTCAACGAGCTCGACCCTCATGTAAGCAACCACCCTTTTTTTCTCGGACTCTCTTGGTTGCTGTGATTATATCGTTCGTGCAAAATTCATATAACCTTCGCGTTGGTGATGAGAAAAATACTCAATACTTCAGTCCTCAGTATGAGCAACGTCGCGCTCACACATAATTTTCATGTTGATCCTTGCATTTCGTGTGCTAATAGGACGAAAAGGTCTTAGACAACAATCCATCGTTGTACTTCGCCCTTCTCAGACTTCAGCTTGTTGAGTTAATACGTAAATGCAATGCGACCCCTGGAAATGATATCACCCCAGCCTTGAACTTTGCCACCGAGTATCTCGCGCCACGGGCACCCACCCGCAAGGAATTTATGGAGGATCTGGAGAAGACTATGGCATTGCTTGTCTTTCCCAAAGAAAGCCTCGAGCCGCCTCTCGCAGCCTTATTACGGCCTGAGCTTCGACGTGGCGTCGCTGATCGGGTCAACAAGGCCATCCTGACAGGTCAGAACGCACGGCGAGATGCTACTATCAGAAATCTTGTTCGCCTGCGGGCATGGGCCGAAGACGCAGCTCGACAAACCAAGAAGGACTTGCCACAACACCTGGAGCTTGGTCTTGACGGCGAGGAAAGGAGTGGCTCTCCTGGGAATGGACCTGAGCCCATGATATCATGAGCGTGGTGCGAGCTTAGCACTGCAATGCCATCATCATTGACGAGTGTTCTCGGGGCGTTCTTTGCATTGAATATGGCATTTTTCTGTTTGCAGGGAGTTGGATGGCTGAGGGCAACCCAGGCGGCATAGGAATGGCGTTTAGCTCGAGAGTCAATGTATCTTTTCGGTGCGCTACTTTATGTGATACCAATGTAACATGATTGGATGTTTGAACTGCCCTACATGCTGGAAGAGGCGAGATGGCTCGGTAGAGGTACCTTCTTTGATAATAAACGAATGATGATGATGCCGTACTGTCTGTCTGTCTGTCTGTCTGTACCTTCGACTCGTCTTGGTAGATCATCCGCTTGTTGCAATCCCTGCAGATGTCAAGGGACTCAGTCATCTGTATATATTATGTATATATCATGTATATATTATGTATATATTATGTATATATTATGTATATGTTATGTATATGTTATGTATATGTTATGTATATGTTATGTATATAGATATATGTATCTCTCTTCAACGACAGACAGACAGACAGACAGCAAAGATGGATGGAAAGAAGGAAGTGTTTTTCTTTATTTCAACCCGACATTGTTCCATTCGCAGCTGGCGGCCATCAAGTTTCCGACCCCGAGTTCCGACCAAATTGGCTACGTCAGTCAGATTCTGATAGCGGGAACCTGCCCGGTTGAGCTACAGTACGCTCGGTACTCTCGGTACTCTCGGTGCTCTCGGTGCTCTCGGTGCTCTCGGTCCTCTCGGTACAATATGTAGGTGGGTGAATGACGGTGCTACACCAAGTAAGTACCTTAGACCTGAGATAGAGATTGAGAGAGCTTCAGGAACAGCTCAGCTCAACTCAACCCAACTCAGCTCAACTCAACTCAACTCAACCGAACCAACTTACCCAACTTACCTAGAACCTCCACCTCTAACGAATATGGTCTGCGAAGCATAGGATACCTACTCCCTACCCAACACCTCTCATCCCAAAACCAATTGCAATGCTGCGGCGGCAGCAGCAGCGCGCTGTCTCCCTTGCGCAGTCGACGCCGCGAAACCCCCATCTATTCCGAAGCCCGTCAAGTCTGACCAGCAGATTACCAAACAAACGACCTTACCATTCCTTCCGCAACTCTCTCCGGCCGACGCCGTCGTCCTCCCAGGCGCAATGGCAGCAGCTTCTCCGCCAGCAGGCAGTGCGCTTCGTGACCGGCAAACCTCTTCCACAGCGACGATCGTGGGCTTTGAACTTCGCCTACAGATCAGCGGCATGGCTTGGAGGCTCGGTCATATTCGTGGGCTTTGCTGTGGTGGCATTCTTCGTCTACGATGCCTCGACCTACCGGGAGGACCTATCATTCCGAGATATCCAGGTATCTGAAGTCGCTCTGAGCCCTCGACGGGGTGGTCCGAAGAACCTGCCGATCGCAGAGGTTCAGATCGACGATGACGATTGCGTGGAGATGCAAAGGCAGAAGGACAAGCCGAAATTGGTTATTCTGGGAGGTGGATGGGGAAACGTTGCGCTGCTCAAGACTCTGAACCCAGAAGAATACCACGTTACGCTGGTCTCACCGACAAATTACTTTCTCTTTACGCCCATGCTGCCCTCTGCCACGGTTGGGACTTTGGAATTCCGCTCCCTGGTTGAGCCGATTCGTAGAATTATCGGCAGGGTCCGCGGCCACTTCCTGCGAGCATCGGCAGAGAACGTCGAGTTTTCGGAGAAGCTTGTGGAATTGTCCCAAACCGACATCAACGGCAAGGAAGTCCGCTTCTACCTTCCGTACGACAAGTTAGTTATCGGTGTAGGATCGACTACAAACCCCCATGGCGTGAAGGGGCTGGAAAACTGCCACTTCTTGAAAGACATTGAGGACGCACAAAAGATCCGGAATCATATCCTCACGAATCTGGAATACGCTTGTCTTCCTACCACGCCCGATGAGGAGAGGAGGCGTTTGCTCTCTTTCGTTGTCAGTGGAGGTGGCCCTACTGGTGTAGAATTTGCAGCCGAGCTTTTTGATCTGCTCAACGAAGATCTTACAGCCCACTTCCCCAAGATCCTCCGAAATGAGGTCTCCGTACATCTTATCCAGAGCAGGGGACACATCTTGAACACCTACGATGAGACTCTTTCAAAGTATGCCGAGGAGAGATTTGCTCGTGACCAGGTTGAAATCCTCACCAACTCCAGGGTCAAGGAGGTGAGACCTGATAAGATCTTGTTCACTCAAAAGGGAGAGAACGGAGAGACGGTCACCAAGGAACTTCCGATGGGATTCTGTCTCTGGTCTACGGGTGTGTCGCAGACAGAATTTTGTCAACGCATATCCAAACAACTCGGCAGCGTTCAAACCAACCGCCACGCTCTTGAGACCGATACCCACCTTCGTCTCAAAGGTACACCTCTAGGGGATGTTTATGCCATCGGAGACTGCTCGACTGTGCAGAACAACGTCGCAGACCATCTGGTAACCTTCCTCCGCACCCTCGCGTGGGAGAAGGGACAAGATCCAGAAACCGTCCATCTCACATTCAGCGAGTGGCGCGACGTAGCCCATAAAGTCCGCAAGCGCTTTCCTCAAGCCGCCGAACACCTCAAGCGCCTGGACAAGCTCTTCGCTGCCTACGACAAGGACCAATCGGGGACCCTCGATTTCGGCGAGATGCGCGAACTGCTGATGCAAATCGACAGCAAACTCACCTCGCTTCCAGCAACGGCCCAGCGCGCACACCAGCAAGGTCAGTACCTCGGCCACAAGTTCAACAAGATGGCACAAGCCGCCCCTGGCTTGAAGGCGAACGACATCCGCGACGGCGACCTAGACGGGGCCGTCTACAAAGCCTTTGAATACCACAACCTCGGCAGCCTGGCCTACGTGGGGAACTCGGCCGTCTTTGACTTTGGCGGCGGCTGGAACTTTTCCGGTGGCCTGTGGGCCGTGTATGCCTGGCGAAGCATCTATTTCGCGCAGAGCGTGAGTCTGCGGACGAGGATCCTGCTGGCTATGGATTGGGCCAAGAGGGCACTCTTTGGAAGGGGTGAGTTGATGCATTCCCCCCTCCCCACCGCCCCCCCCTTCCTTATCATTTTTCATCCTACTTTTTTTCAGCCCAGGAAAAGCTATCGATTGACTGACTTTATCCTCTCTTCTACTATAGATCTCATGAACTGGTAATAAGGATAAATAAGTGAAACTGGAGTTTCTAGGTAGTATGATGTACCTAGTGTACCTAATATAGTATAGAGTTAACCGACCGAACGAAACGAACGAACGCCTTCTTCTTCTTCTTCTTCTTCCTCTTCTCCTCCTCCTTCTTCTCTTCTTTCCACGCGCGTGTACGGAGTCAAGGCAAGCATAGCCACAGGCTTGACGAGTCAGCCAGCCCTCCAGCCAGCCCTCCAGCCCTCCATCCATCCATCCATCCATCCATCCAAAGCAAGCAAGCAAGCAAGCAGAAGAGAAGCCCGTATCGCAGTCTCTTCGGCTCTCCGGGTCTCTTTCGGGGCGTCCGTTGGTGAATAAATAGATGGGTAGATGGATGGAAATGTATGTGTATGACAGAATAGAAAGCAGAATAGGATAGGATAGGGATAGGATAGGATAGGACGGGAAATCGTGATTCATTGTCGTCGTCATCGTTGTCGTCGTTGATCAGTGATCGATCAATCAATCAATACTCCTTTTCCGTCATGCCTCCCTCCACCCGCTCCTGTGCTTGTTTGCTTTTTCTACTCTTTGCAGCGAGTAGGTAACCCCCCCCCCCCCCACCCCCCAAAAGACCCCGAGATTCCCCGTAGAGAAATCCCTTCCTTCATTTCACCATTCCAGAGCACCCATTTCAACATAATACGGCGAAGTGAGGATTTGAGAATGTGTATCTTTATACCTATTTCAAAATCAACTCTTCCACCCCCCCCCCCCCCCCCCCTCCCCCCCACCATTCCACATGCCCGGAAATACAACATATCGTCGTTAAAAGAAAAGAGACGTAGTTCAAAAGCAAGATGCGCCCCGAGGATTATCTAGCCCACCCATAAACGCCATGTAGAAAAAAGATAGATGCTAGTATAATGATTGTCGCCTACTCCTCATCAGACTCCTCCTCGGCAACCTGTTGGTTGTCAGTCACAATTTCTTGAAAACGAGATGGAATCAGAGGACTTACATCATCGTGGAAGGTCTTCCCCTCGGTCGTCTCCTTGATCATGCCAATCCGGATACAGAAGTCGCCGAAATGCTCGCCATTATTGCGCTCAATGGAGTAGCGCTTCAACAGTGGCTTCATAATGGCCAAGATCTCGTCTTCCTTGATGCTGCTTCGGTACAGCTTGTTTAGACGTTGGCCATGGTAACCACCGCCCAAATACATATTGTAGGCGCCGTATGCCTTGCCGACGAAAGCGACTTCAGCGAGCCATGGCCGAGCACATCCATTGGGGCATCCGGTCATGCGCATGACGATGGAGTCTTGCCGCATGCCGTTCTCCTCAATAATTCCCTCCAGCTTGCTGATCAGCACGGGGAGGTAGCGCTCACTCTCAGCCATGGCGAGACCGCAGGTCGGGAACGCGACACAGGCCGAAGAGGACATGCGAAGACCGGAGAAGTCGGTGTTGTCGAGCTTGTACTTAGCCATCATTTCCTTGATTTGGGGAAGATCCTCATCAGCAACGTTACTGATGATCAAATGCTGGTTCCCAGTCAAGCGAAACTCGCCCTTGTGGACCTTGGCAATCTCTCGGAGACCAGTCTTCATGGGGAAGGTAGCGGTGTCCTCGATACGGCCATTCTCAATAAAGAATGTGAAGTGGTTCAACCCATATTCGTCCTTCTGCCAGCCGAAAGTATCGATGTTGCTGATGAACATGAATGGCTTCGGCTTGCCGAACTTCTTGCCCCAGAGCTCCTCGACCTTGCCCTTGAATACATCGACTCCCATGTCGTCGATTGTATACTTTAGACGGGCGTGCTTGCGGTTCTTACGATCACCATGATCACGTTGGACTAGCATGACTTTCTCGCATGCAATGTGGACTTCGTCCTTAGGAACAAATCCGAGCATACTGCCAGTTCGTGGGTATGTCTTCTTGTTGTTGTGAGTGACACCCATTCCACCACCGGCGAGGAGGTTGAAACCAGTCAAGTGGCCGTCCTTGCCCTTGCATGCGACAAGACCAATGTCGTGTGCGTAAACATCAGTGTCATTGTGTGGAGGAATGGCGATGGTAATCTTGAACTTTCTCGGAAGGTATGTCGGGCCATAAAGAGGCTCGAAATCCTGGACAGCATCGCCTGCTACTAAAGTTTTCTTGTCGTTATCATCCTTCAACCAAATCTCGTGGTAGGCGGTGGTGGATGGAAGTAAGTGATCAGAGATCTTCCCTGCGCAAGCGTAAACCTCACGGTGGTACTTTGAAGCAGTTGGCAAACTACTGCACATGACGTTTCGATTGACATCACCACAAGCAGCAAGTGTAGTCATCAGAGCCGCGTTGATACCTCGCATAGCTGACTTCAGCTTGCCCTTGACGACGCCATGGAATTGGAAGGTTTGACGGGTTGTTAGCTTCATTGTCTCGTTGCCGAATTTGTTGCTGACATCGTCCATCTGGATCCATTGCTTGGGAGTCGACACACCACCGTCCAGTCTGCATCGGATCATGAAGGAGTAAGCAGGCTCAAGGCCCTGGGCCTTTCGCTCGTCACGGAGATCACGGTCGTCCTGCATGTAGGTACCATGGAATTTGGTCAACTGTGAATCAGACGCCGAAATAGCGCCAGTACTTGGGTCCTGCAGACCTTCCTCGATGGTACCACGAAGGAAGTTCGAGGACAACTTTATGTCCTCGTTGGTGATTGCTGTTTTTTGGCATTAGGAACGGCTCCCAAGTAAATAAAAATGAAAAGAAAAATGATGAGAAGGAGACGTGGTGGTGAGGCAAGTGCAGCCCAGGAAAGGAATCGAGGGTAGGCTGGGCCACACATGCCCTAAAAGAAATGCATTTACTTACGTGGAGGCTCGTCAACAATTCCCTCAACTTTGTCCACACCAAGAGCTTTCCAGATCAACGGCTCCCAGTTCTGGTATCCAGTCTGATATCCGTCAGGATCCTGATCATCACCGAGTCCCACCTCCGCAAGTCTCTTAGCACCAAAGTTCGCAAGCACCCGATCAAGATCCTTTCCAGGCTTGTTGTAGTAGTGCTTGTCCTCCTTGCGAGGCCAGTAATGGCTGTCACCAAGCGCAAAGACGGAGAAGTTGACATTCGCGAGGTCGAGCTCCGTATTATCCTTGATGGCGTCCCAGAAAGCTCGACCGTTTTGAGGGAATTCTCCTTGACCGGCGGTACTGGACAAGAAAACGATGTTCTCCTCCTTTGCAAGATCCTCGACTGGATAGTCTTCCATAGCCATGACCAGGGTCTTGAGACCACGAGCTTTACCTCTGTTGGCGAGACGCTTGGACAAAGTCTCAGCGTTGCCGTTATCAGAAGCGAAGAGAATCGTCAAAGGAGCGCCGTAGAGGCCCTCGAGTAGCTGATTGTACGCATCCTTAGCCTTACGCTTCTGCAACTCCCGGACCTCGGCTCCGTAATCCTGGGCCAATGTCGAGGAGAACTCGGGGTGTCGCTTCATCAGCTGAGTAAGATGGTTATCACGCGCCAAGAAGTCTTTCAGCTCCTTCTTGATGCGTTCCGAGTCCAGAGAGAAGTTCGGCTCTCCCCTATCTTCGTTCGACGGGTTCCATCTGTACAGTGGCCAGTATCCAAGGCCAACCGCTTTCTTTGTCTCCTGAAGAACGGTCAACGGAGAGTCGTTCTCCTTGAAGTATGGGAGGTAGGCGACAACAACCGAAGGGCCCTCGAATTGATCGGCCTCGATCATAGCTTGAAGAACTTGGGTATAAGAGCTGTACACAGCCACAGAAGCGACGTAAGCATTTCCGTAGTTCATAGCGTAAAGACCGACGTCCTTCTTCCGTCGAGTCGCGTCTTGAGCAGAGCCTTCCGAGTAGGGTGTAGAGTCGATAATGAGCATGTTTACATTTTCGCCAGAAGCAATAACGTGATGGACTCCAGAGTTACCCAAGTCATAAGCCCAAGCGTCCGAGCCGACAAGCCACTGGGACTCTTTCCGTAAGAGGCCCTTCTTGGAGAGCAAAGTTTGGGACAGGGCAGATCCGTCGGTTTGGAGCCGCGAAATGATCTCATCTGCCAACTCGGCCGTCTCCAAGTCATCATTGGGCGCCAAAGCCCACCTCGCCAACCAAGGCTTCACAGACTCAGTCACAAATTCATTAGATGTGGAAGCTTGCCGAATCTCGCTGACGAACCGTTGGCGGTGTTCCTGTCGGGCAACCAGAGAACCAAATCCAAACTCAGGGTTCGCCGCCACAGTAGCCGAAATCCCAGCATTTTGAGAGCCAAGCGCATTTGCCACATACAGTCGCTGTCCGAAGATCTGGTCTAAAATCTTGGTATATGCAGACTCAACTTTTGGCTGTACGAGCTTATACGCTTCTAATGGCTCCGTGGGTCCATCAGAGTTGCCCACCTCCAAATTCTGGATTGGCCTCTCAGACTTCAGATTCTGAAATACGCCGCGCAGTGCTTGCCGAATAGCCGTCGGCTCGATAAAACCAAGTTGGTGACCGACAATAGTCTCAACACGACCACCGGGTCCAGATTTCAGAGTGGTAAGGAGATCCAGAAGAAGAGGACCCCATTTGGTAGTCTTCCGGCGGATTTGCTCGAGGACCGCGATCTTCTTGATTGACTGCGGAATCGTCTCAATGAGCTTCGACCCCAGCCAAGGTCTGTACAATCGCGCGGTAATGATACCGGCCTTCGCGTATATCTCGCTAGACTTGGCTGAGCGAAGCGCCTCGGAAAACACGCCTACGTCAGATCCGAAAATAAACAAAGCCGTCTCGGCATTTGATGGTCCCGAGTAGTGGAAAGGCGTGTATTCGCGTCCGAGTTTCTCCTTGATTTGTGTCCAGATGGCAGTTACGAAATTGTAAATGTCGTCTGATGTCACAGCTCGGGTAATTGTAGAGTCAACAGTGGTAGCTGACGACACGCTACCCTTGCTGTCCACGCTGGTTTCTCGTCCAGAAACCGAGGAACCTACAGAAGAAGAAGCCTTGGAAGCCGCCTCGAGAGGTGTTTGTGCAATCGTTGTTACCGAGGTCTCCTCAACGCCTTCCATGGCACCGACCACTTCCGGGGCAGCTGCAGCCTCTGTGATCGTCGCCACTCTTCCATCGTCGGCATATATGCTGGTGCCACCGATCTTGGAGCTCTGAAAGGCCCGCACAGCATCAATATCCAGGATCTGACTAACAGCGTCTGTGTTTTCGAAAGGAATAGGGCTATTCTGCGCGGAAGATCCAGCGTCGAAGAAATGTATTACACCTTTTCCTGACTTGATTGCCAGCGCGTGAGCTGTTAACGCAATATCTTGCGCTTCCTGTAATGTCTCGGACTGGAGAAATGTGAAGCCAGAATTGCGAATCGAGGTAATGGAGGAGTAATCTGGATAGTGCGCCGGCTGTAGGGAAACGTGGATAACCACTGGGAGGTTCGCCAGGCGGTAGAGGTGGGGTACGGAAGAGACGAGGATGGAGGAGCTGGTGGTCACTGTCACCAGCTTCCCACTGCGAATTGGTGTGAAGACGGAGAGGAGAGGGTCGGCATTATGTCTGACTACCTGGATCTGTGGAAAGATAGAAGCATTAGCCAGATCTTGGCCAAAAAGTCTAGGGTGGGAGAGCGGGGGAATTGGTGATTCTACCTCTGGGACGGATCCTGTTGTGGTCGCCACCAGATTCGGGTCTTTACGGCCAGCGTATCTGTGCAAGTGCGAGGAGAACTCCGTGTCGACGGACTGTGCTGGCTGTACCGAGACGATCAGGTCGCTGGACAGATATGCGATTCTTGCCACTATTCCCACGCCATGGCTGTCAGCACAAAGAGCCTCAACATCAACAGCCGCACGATAAGGGCACCACAGGGGAAAAGAAGACCTACCAGCCTCTCCCGGGGAGCGAATCTTGTGCGAGGTAGACGCGGCCATGGTGTCGGTATAGCTACTGCCGATGCTGCTGTCCCTCCGTCCGTAGGGAGGTTCAGAAGTGGAAGTGAGTTGGCGGAGGAAGGAAGCCATCCTGTCTTATTTTTCTGGGTTGATTTTTTTGCTAGACTCCATTACCTAGGACCTTGCTAACGAAGAAAACATCTCTAGCGGGGTGCCGATGCAATGCGAGGGTCTGGTGGCGATGCTCAGAATATCGAGCTCGAGGCCGAGTCGTTGCGCACAGGGGCGATGGTGCAAGAAGCAGCCAACAGGAAGTCGGCAATTGAGCAGCCAAAAGTCACGGGAGGGGAGGTTTAGAGAAATGTAACGTGGCGATAGACACTTTACTCACGTGCCGATAGCGATGGTGTAAGCGGCCTGAGCACGCCATTGATACAGCCACCCCGATGGATTATTCTCGGACTCTTGAGTTTGTAAATATACGGAGATAAAGGGACTGCATTCCTGATTCCTGGGACTCCCGTTCGTAGGTTGTGTGGAGGAGACAAACAAGCCTTCTAGTTAACCTCTCGGAACCTCGTACTCGGGTGCTTGTACTTAGCTACCGGTAGTCGCTTCTTTCTCTGGTTGTTGTTGGTTTGATGTATAACTTTATCTGACTTGCTCACGTGGCTCAAATCCCGAGCCTCAACTCGACTTGAGGCCCTGTAGCCTATGGTTCTTCACAACACAGACCAAAGATAAGTAGATGTACGCCTGCATTACTTACTATCTAATTCATTATGTACTCCCGCCTCTCTGGGCTAACTCGTCATCTGAACAGGTGGTACAAGGCTATACCACCAGAAAAGTGCCTGAGACTAGTCAAAGCAAAACACAGCTCGTTCCAACCCGTAAACGCCGTGGCGAGCCCCAGCCAGATGTTGTCCTACCTATACAAACACGTCTTTCGTCTCATGTTTCTCCATCCTCGCGCCTTGCTTCTGTACACCCCGATTCCCCTTCTTGTACTTTCGTCACAGTAGGCTACCACCTCACAGCTTGCCCAGGTCAATCTTGGGAATTGGTGGCCCAGTTCCACTCCGCGCCCTGCGCTCCCTCTCGATAGTGCCGGGCGGTCCCCCGGATCTCTTCAAAGTGAGATTCGTAGTCTTAAATCTCCCATCCAATCCCTTGACCCACTCATCATCCGCCTGTCCCCCTAGCCAAAAGCTCTCTCCAACCCTGACCATAATCCTGCCAACCATCCCCTTCAACCCCTCACCCTCAGGCGATCCAACCGCGAAAGGGTTATCTGCCCTTCCCTCAGCCGCCCCATCAGTGTGAAGATGCAGTTTAATCGGCGAAGCCGGCGAAGCCGCATACATATGCTGCCTCAGAACTTGTCTTGCGAACGCCATGACAATGAGAATAAAGTAGACCCGCACCATCGTCAAGAGTACGACAACTATGATGCTGGGTATGCTCTCTTCGATGGCCACACTACGCCCAAAGTTGGGGTTTCTCACAGTGGCGATATTTTGGCCGACCATGCCGTAGGCTACGGAAGGCGGTCCACCAGTTACCACTTCCACCTTGCTGATATTATACTTCGGGCTCGTGAAGCCCGCCGTATCATCCATCGTGCTTCCGCCGGGGGCACTGCTCGGAATACCATTTCTCGCGTTATCGGCGCTGACGGCGAGGAACCAGGTCACCGCGAATGCAGAAGTGAAGGCTGTGTTGATGATGGTATCGAAGAGGTAGAACCACGAGAGGGCAAGGCACTCGAAGGGGCTCTGCTTGCGGATGTGCGGCATGAGGAAGGCGAGGATGACGAGTGCGCCAACCGAGTAGATGTACATGGAGAGTTGGAGTGGCGAGAGCGATACGCCGGTCAGGATGGCGAGGAGGCCGTAGAAGCCGGTGAGTTTGTTAAAGATCATGGAGAGAGAGACCATCTCTACACCGGTCCGCAGACTCATCACGTAGAGAAACGCCTGTGTCGTAATTAGCATCTGCATCTTCATCCTCCCAGGTCTCTGGTGCGCTTTTTCAAGGGAGGCTGCGACGAACTCGAGGGCGCGGAACCCGCAGGTATCGCGAAATGGACCGCATCTTCGGATTATGGCGAAATGAAGACCGAGTCGAGCGAAATTTGATGGTTGAGGCAGTAGAGACGTTCTGCGAGAGGGACTTCTCGGCGAGGATGGTTCGTCATGCTGCAATCCTTGGCACCCCTTTAAAAACCGACTGAGCCGCATTTTGGTACCACCGAGACAGAGACGTTGTTTGCTAGGTATTGAGATTGACTACCTACACTCATACAAACGAAATGTCTCGGACATTGCGGATGCTAGCATACATGAGATGGACTCTATCTGCTTGACGCTGACGTGAAAAACAAGTGAAAAACATCTCTGTCAAACTCTTCAATCTAGCCTGTAACGACTTCCTGATCATTGATCGAGCTCTGGAAAACAGCATCTGGTATCACTTCATTACTACATGCTAGGGGAGAACACTCCGGTATAATACAATGTTGTCAACCCATTGCACGCTATGCTCAACTCCCCGAACCTTTCCTGAAATATAAGACGGCGAAGATGTTTATTTTCAGCCGCATGAAAGAATGCATCTACCAATTGTCGGCAAACACTGAAGACTCGTACTTTGTTTGACTTTCCTAACCTTCTCTAGCAAGCACAGCCCTCCTGGTTGGCTGGAGTTGGGTTGATGCTAACATCAATCACTTGTATCTATTAGCATTGGCCTTACTTGGTAAAGGTTGAGAACAAACGTACTTTGGTTTCCAGTAGCCGCAGAGCCCTCTGCACCGTCCATGCCTGGCAAAGCTTGTGCTATCCTCTTGAATAGGTTCTTGACATTGTGGCCAACCTTCGCACTTGTTTCAATGAACATCAGGTTGTTCTTCTTGGCTTCCTCCTCTCCTTGCTGTGTAGTCACTTCGCGCTTGTCATTCAAATCCGTCTTGTTCCCTACCAACACGATGATCACATCGTTCCCTCGCTCCCCCCTCACATCGTCGACCCATTTCCTTGTATTTTGGAAGGATTTCGCATCTGCCTGTAATTAGCGCCAGGTTCGCCTCTGACAGGGGGCCATTCCTACTTGAGATATCGTAAACAACAACCGCTACGCTCGAGTCTCGGATGTAGGATGGGATCAGACTCCGGAAACGCTCTTGTCCGGCTGTATCCCATAACTGCAGCCGTACGGTTCGGTCTTCGAGGTACATGGTCTGCGCCAACCAGTCAACATCCAGCTCCGGAGTCCTAAACAATAGCAGAGCCTGCTTACTTTCGAGAGAAAATCGATTCCTATCGTCGCCTGGTACATGTTGTCGAACGAATCGTACATGAAGCGCGTAATGAGGGAAGTCTTGCCGACTGTGTTTACGATCAGCTATACATGCTTGGATGCGCACACGAGGCACGCTTCGTACCGCTCTGCTCTCCTAAAAAGACCAACCTATTGATTGGTTAGTTGAGTTGCGTAGATAGTCCTCTGCCTGATCCATGCCTACTTGAACTTCTTCAGCGGGTTATTGTATGATCCTCCTGCTTGCGCCATTTTGAGTGTATTGGGCTACCAATTTCGCGGCTTGGGACGGAACTGTATGGATTGAAGGACTAGAGGAAATAAATGAGTATCTCGTGGAATCGTGAAGCCGTCAAATTCTATTGTGGTGCCTGTTGGTGTTCGGGAATCCATTCTGAAGAAAGGAGAGAGCCGTCTCTGGACAAGGGTGGGCTGCACCAACTAGCACTGGTCGTGTCGGTCACGCTAGCGATAGGCGATAATTTTCGGAATCCTTTTTTCGGTATCCAAAAAAAGATTGCATCCGCTCTACACCCATCGAACTTCGACTTCAACGAACTTCAACGCACGAAGATGCCTATCATCAAGCCTGCCACAACCTCTCCCGGAGCACCGCAGCAACACAACCAAAAATCTAGAAAGGGAAAGAAGGCGTGGAGAAAAAATGTAGATGTCACCGATATCCAAGATGGCCTCGAAGAAGTGCGGGAGGAGATCCTCACTGGGTATGATTCCAGTTCGATTTGATATCGGTTGATGTTCTCTGACAATACTTCAGTGGTGTTGTTGCTGAGAAAGCATCTTCCGAACTCTTCATACTCGACTCTACCGGCGATGTTGGTATTCAGAGAAACGTTCTCAAAGGCTCCAAGCCCCTCAAAGCCGATGAGATTATCGCACAACGATCTGTCATACCCGCCGTATCCATGAAGAAGAGAGCTGGCGAGAACACTACCGACGGAATCCTCGAACCCAAACGCCAAAGAACGAGCTACGTCTCCCACAAAGAGCTTACTCGTCTTCGCAAGGTTGCCAATGGTCACCAGGGCCAGCCAACTGTGGAGGTTTCAGAAGCCAGCTACGATCCATGGGACGTGCGGAAGGACATGGAAGAGGCGGCAATTGATCCCAGATTTTCCTTCCTCGAGAAGTCGAGAAAGAAAGTCGCCCCGCCAACTTTGAAGCACAAGCCTATTTCTCTTGCGGCCAGCGGGAAGGATATACCAGCAGTCAAGAAACCAGAAGGCGGATTTAGCTACAACCCTATGTGGGATGACTACGAAGGACGGCTTATATCAGAAGGCGATAAGGCACTTGCGGCGGAGGAGAAACGTCTCGCGATTATTGAAGCCGAGCGTGTCAAGCAAGAAGCGGCCTCAAAGTCGGCAGCTGAGGCAGAAGCTGCTGAAGCGAGGGCAGAGATGTCGGAATGGGAAGAGGAATCTGGCTGGGAGGGTTTCGAGAGCGGGACTGAGGATGTCAAGTTGAATGCCAAGAGACCAGAGAGAAAGACACAGGTGCAAAGGAACAAGATCAAGCGCCGGAAGGAGGAAGAGCGAAAGGCGAAGATGGCTGCAGAAATTAAGAAGAAGAATGAGCAGGCGTCGCAAATCAAGAAGATTGCGAAGGCTTTGGCGGAAAAGGAGGCGCTGAAGATGGCTGCTGTTGAGAACGATGATAGTAGCAGCGAGGGTGATGACTTGGAGCTGCGCCGGAGAAAGCTGGGAAAGATTTCATTGCCGGAGCGAGATCTAGAGCTCGTCCTTCCTGATGAGTTGCAAGAATCGCTGAGATTGCTGAAGCCAGAAGGGAATCTGTTGAAGGATAGATACAGAAGCCTTCTGGTTCGGGGCAAGGTTGAGAGCCGACGCCCGATCAGCTTCGCGAAGAAGGCGAAGCGGAAGGCGACCGAGAAGTGGACACACAAGGATTTCATGTTACACTGAAGAACATGTCCAGATTAGGGGAAAGACACAATGCAGCGCTGATGAATATCTCCCTCCTCGCTCACAACCACGTGATCGGGAATTCGGGATTTATTCAGTCCATGGCTTTACAACGCCCCGATTCGAACTTTTGATACTGAGCGAGAGACCCTTGCTTGCGTACTACGTACGATCCTAGACCGAGCGAGGGCTCTTTTGTAAAAGATAACAACAGCACGCATTGTTTTTTTTTTTTTTCGTTTTTTTTTCGCCTTTTACACGGACTGACTCCGACTTTGCTAGCCTATCAAGTAAGTGTGTCTGTCTGTACAGCAAACCGGCTCCCTTTCTCGCCCAGTCAGTCAGTCAGTCAGCCAGTCAGCCTCCTCTTATCAAACGCCCGCGACCGAAAAACGGACCATCTAGTTAGATAGACACGCACACACCAGTACGGCAAAACTTCCCTCCCTCGAACCAGTCAGTCAGTCAGTCAGTCAGTCCGATAGCTAAGCAAGACAATATAACAACACAATACAACACAACCCACCCCATCAACTCTCAACCTTCAACCCTCTACTCTCCATCCTCCCTTATCTTTCTCTACGGACTCACCAATCCCTTTTTCCCTTTCCCTTTCCCTTTCCCTTCCCTCCCTCTTTCCCTTTCCCTATTCCTTCCCTCCCTTCCCTTCCTTCCCTTCCCCCCCTTTCCCTTCCCGCTCCATCTAACCTAGTTAGTGTCTTTCTCAACCAGCTACCTAGCTGTCTCTGTGATATGCGCACGTCAGGTGCTTACTTACCTCGTGATCGATGGATCGATCGATCGATCGATCTTGTCAGAAGAGGGAGGAACCTACCTACTCGGTTCTTCTAGATAGCACGGCTGTCGCTTGAACGGGTCTGCTGCACGGTTAATATCGTGAGGGAGACACGCTTTTGTATATATTTGTATATATATGTCAGTTGGAGGTCCGCAGGTGCTTACTTACTTGCTTGATGGGTTAGTTCACAGCTCCAAGCCCCAGGGTTGTAGATAGCTAACGTCGTCGGGGGAAAAAAAGGGGGGGAAGGGAGATTCATAATATATATTTATTTAATTACGCCATACATGGAAACGGAGATCATATGTAAACCTCTTGATTCTCATAGTATGAGGTGAGTGATTTTGCGCCGCAAGCTCAAGCTCAACGTCGACATCCCAAAGATTTTCCCTAAATATGCCCGGATAGCTAGCTTTCAAAGACCTGCGTGGAGTAGCTAGCTAGCTAGCTACCTACCTAGCTCGTCCGTCCGTCTACCTGTAAGACGAGAGACTCCCCACATGTAGTTGCAAGAGTCTCCTGATGCCACAGAGCCCTATTCCAGTTCCCGCCCGGCTCCTCCGTGGTGATTGCATACGGACGTCCCAGAAAAACAAATTCATACCCACAGGGTACCGGACCTCTGAACCCTGAAGTTCTAACACCCACTTACTCCGTTCGCTTCAATCTCCTCACCCCAGCCAGAGCGAGCGCCCGTCTCGTCCCACAATTCCAAAGCCCCCCTATTTCTCCTCAATCGGCGTGGCAGTCCCTCTTGAACGAGACATGCTATATGGAGCCTAGAGTAAGATGATTAGCGAGTAGTCCACCCAACGCGGACATCATTAGTAGATAGCTTCAAAAATGATCTTGGTAGATAGTGCATACCAAAGCCTGCTTCGCAACACAGATCCTCCATGCCAGCTTCTTCACGTTCCCATCCGCAGCCACCACACCCGGGGCCAATTCAAGCGCAAACATCTGGTGCACTGCATACACGACCCTCTTCGCATACTTGCCATCTCGCTCCACCAAGCTACCGAAGCTCTCCTCGATGGTGTTCGGTGCGATTTCGGGGTCACGGTCAAAACAATTTCTGACAACAGGGAGCAGCGCGTCTTCGACTGCTGAGCGTAGGAGGATGTTAGAGTCGATAATGGTATCGTCTTCGTCGAAGCGGCCGATGCGGACTTCGAAGGGGAGCGAGATGGCCATGACGTTGTGCTTGCCATCGTGATGGTAGCGGAACTCGAAGACGCCCTGCGTCCACCAGAGTTTATCGCCTTCGAAGACCATCTCCCCTTGTACACAGTCGTAGGTTGTGCCGTCAGCACGCTTGACGCCTGAGACTGGCTGGTCTGTGATTCTTATGCCGCTGTCTGCAGGCGAGTCTTCGTACTCGTGGGGGACGGTAGCGACCCATCGACCGGCGGATGAGACACGGGTCACTTCTCGGGAGGCGTTGTCGGCGATCATGTAAAGACCCACCCAGTCGCTTTTGCCGTGGTTCTTTGGAGCCCTCCATTTAACTCTGATTGGGGCGCCGTATTCGAAGATCAGCGGCTTAAACTCATCTGTGCGCTCCCGTGGGAATCGTCCTGTGAGGCCTTCTTTCCCAGTAGATCGTTCGTTGAAAGCCAGAGCAGATGTTGCGGTGCCCTCGATCTCAATCGAATAGTCCCTAGGATTAAACCCGGCCAGGTCGGGTGCCAACCGTGTGACCGTTATGCGTGCTGGGTATTGGCTGAACAGCGCAGAGGTATCTCTGACTATCGTTGAGACACCCGCAGCGAGTTTGGGTCGGGCTGCATCCAGGAATTCCTCGACAAAATTACTGGTCTCGGTCAAGACTTTATCGACACTCCCCTGGAACTTCTTTAGTGGTGGCGGCAACGATCTTCGGAGACTCTTGGTCAGACCCGCCTCGGGTCGTAGGTGTCTTCCATAGAGCCTTTGCATATGCGGCTTCTCGACGAGCTGTATGAAGCAAAGACTGAGAACGTGGCTTAGGAGGGCCAGAAAGAAGATAGAGGTGCTTCTCGTGAGGAACACTGCACCCCAGAGACCCATCAGACCAATGATACGCTCAGGGTTATTTAGGTATCGATAGATTCCGCTGTACGTGAGTTTACGATCGTGGTCGAAGAAGAAGTCTCCAAAAAACCATCCAAACTCGCCTAGAGATTGGTAGATGCTGACAGCAGTCCATACTTGGAGAGCAACGAGGGTGAATCCAATGATGTGCATCAACAAGGTATTGTCAGCAACCCAACTCGCTGGCAAGGAGTACATCTTCCACGTTGCGGCGATGAAGCTTACCCAACACATGTTCATACTCATGTGATAGATTCCCTTCCATTGCCTCCACGCTTCTTCTGTGCCCTCACCAAATTTGAGGAAATGCCGCGTCCAGATTTTATCGTTAGACTGGCGATCAAGAATGATACCAAGTCCAACGGTATACCAGAGACGCCATAGAACAGCATTGAGCACGAACAATGCTCTAGACACAGGAGTCGAGGGAGAGACGGCCGTGATAATGATTACGCACAGTTGGAGCAGGAGGACCGAGACGTCTGTGATTCGGAATAAGTCAATGTTTCCGATTCCTACCAGGTTGTGAACAGACGGGGGTGATGTCGCGAAGGCAGGTGATACTTTCAGGAGTTTAGCTTGCTCTGGCACTTCAATCCCTTCTTTCTGGGCGGCTGTCGCGTTCGCAAGGTTGATGTCGCTCGGGCTTGGCTGGACTTCTCGCTTTCGCGGTGGTGGTGGATTGTATGTCTTATCGATGTGAGGATTCTCGATGTATACGAGGAAAGCGAACTGGGCAGCATGTGCAATGATCGAGATAAAGAGAACGTTGTAGCTCGCAGCCATTGCTGAGATACCATAATACCCCGCATAGCCGACAGAATACATGGGATGAGGAGCCATCTCGAAGACACCATCAAACGTCAAAGCTTGGTCAATGAGGTAAAAAAAGTCCCCCCAGTACCAAGCGTAGTCTTTCACAACGCGGTGGGCATCGAGTTTGACCCAGAGATTGAAGCCGACCAGGGCAATGCCGCCTACCCAACGCACTAGGAACATGATGATGCCCTCGCCCTCGGGACGCCTACCACATGCAATGGCAAAGAGACAATACGACGTGAAATCACACATCAGGATCAGATCGACAACTCGACGGAAAACGAGCCATGTGTTGTATTCGATTGGAGCCTCTTCGAGCTTATAGTCCTCTGGGATTTTGGTCTCCAGCTCGCTCTTTATCAGATTGTATAGCCAAGGCCGCAGATTCTTTCCGGTGCTTGGGTTTTCAAAGAGGTTAGCTTTCTTGGCCCATGCCACCAGTCGGCGGTGGTTGGATTGTATGCGGAGGAGATATCCTATTCCGACGTTGTAGCAGCCCCTCCAGAACAGGAATACAATGGCAAAGACTGGGCGCTCTAGGGACGCAGGTAGCAGGTATAGGGCGAGCACATGGAGACCGAGGACAGCCAGGACAATGGCATCGGAAAGGTTCTTGGGTTGTCGAGGGTCCAGTAGTTGGGAGACCATATCGTGGGTCTGAGGGACCGTAAAGACTGCATACTGTGAGCGTTTGTTTCTCGAAGGTAGCAGCCAGAACAACTCCCTCCACCTTCCACCATGGATACGTACGAGATCCATCTGGAGTTCTCCCAATTGTCTTGCTCACCGTAGACTTGGGTCCCTTCTCCTCATCGTCGTCGTCGCCGTCGTCGTCCTGGGGTGTATCAGCCTCACTGCTTCTTCTCAAAGACGGGGTGCTGCTGGGCTGGGCAGATTTCCGTTCTCGGAGCCCTTCCCTCATGGTGGCAGCGGCAGCAGTATTCTTCAGGCTCATGTTGAGAATCTTCAGAGTTGAATGCTGTAGTTCAATAAGTCGTTGAGTTGGGGATGTGTTTAGTATTCAGGAGCTCCTCTCCGAAGCAATATTACTCGTAGTATTTCCCCGGATCGTCGAGGGCGGGTGTGGTTTGTGGGCTTGTGGGCTTGTGGGTTTGTGGGTTTGTGGGGTACGGTTAGCGGTAGCGATGTTTTGCCTTTCGCTCGTCGTCTGGTAATTCTTCGGCACGACATGAGTTGTTCGTGATAATAGTGGGACTTGACGTCGCAGTTTGACGTCAAGTCCCTCTCCCCGTATGAGGTGAGTTTGTCAAGAAGTGGTGATCGGTTGTTGTAAAAATCGAGACGGGTTGGGTCAGCTATATACGGAGTGCAGTAGCGATAAGCCCGAATCTTCTACCGTACCTCTTCCTACCTCTCATTGCCGATCTGGCGTGGCACCGCATGCATTTTAGATCTCGGACGCATCCGCATCCAGCGCCGGCATGATCTGACAGCAGCTCGTCTTAATCGATCAAAGCACCGTTTTCACTATGCGACCAACTCCCATGGCTTCATCGCTTGGGCTCGAGTTCGAGGCATCGAGGCTTAGTGCAGATTTCATTATATACACGTGACTACGTCAACAAAAGGTCATTAACGTTTGGCCTCCTCCCCTGTCCCAGAGAAGCAGAGAGTGTCTTCCATTTCGTTGATATCATTGAACCTGTATTTAGTTGTGATCTAAAACTCCAAGTAAAAACATTTACACAGGCCTTACGTGAGAAGTCTCTCGCTCCACACTACCTCTAAATTAAAAAAAGTAAGGTAGACCGGATCGTGTTCAGCCGCACGTCGCACCTGCCTAGTCAGGTGCCTGGCCTGCGGCTTATAAAACTACTCGCTCTTTTTTTTTCTTTTTCCCTCAAGCAACCTTCCTGATTCGTTAGCCGAAAGACAGACTAGATTTTGCACATATAAGGTACATGGTACAAGGCGCACATGAGATTCGCAGAGGTTGCTTCGGTCCATTCTAGTTGCAAGTAATACAAGTTGCCTCTTTCTAAAGACTACCCCCGACTAATGAAAAAGGGGCTGACGATCGAGGTTCTCTCTTGGTCAGTGGGAGCGAGCGAGACCAGTATACTATCCACCTATCTTAGCATCTGGCTCTTCACTTCTTCGCATCTCTCTCCTTACACAGATCCGTGTAGAAATCGAGCCCCGCCTCCCTTCGAATCGTACCATACATAGCGCTGCTATCGAGCGGCCGCCCTCCCAGCTCTTCGCCATACTGACTCGCCTTCTCCATGTTCCTCAACGCAACCTCGCTAACCTGCAACCTCGTCCCGGCCGTCTGCGCACAGTTCAGCGCATGTCTCGCGTCCTTCATCGCGAGCGCGACATCGAAGCCGGCCTTGCCAGTCGGCTCGGGCGCGTACGCCCCTGTGGTCAGCCTCTTGCTGTAGGACTCCAGGACAGGGCCGAACATATCGCCGATCATCGTCTCGAGGATGGCCGATCCGAGCCCGGTCTTCTCGGCAAAGACGTGCGCCTCGGAGATGACTTCCATAAAGGAGACGACGCAGATGTTTCCGGCGATCTTGAGGAGGGAGGATTGCGACACGACGGGCCCCATGGGGATCACGGAGCGGCCCATCACGTCTTTCAAGTAGGGCGCGATCTTGGTCGTTGCTGTCTCGGGACCGGCGATGACGAAGATGAGTTTTCCCGCCTCGGCCATTGGAGAGGCGCCGAATACAGGCCCTGGGGATGTTAGCTGCGGATGTTGCGAGGTGGAGAGAAGGGTAGAGACGGACCGGCGACGAACTCGCCGCCTGCGGCTGTGATTTGCTCGGCGATCTTGACCGAGGTGTCTGGGTGGACTGTCGAGCAGTCGACGTAGATCTTGCCATGGATACTTCCAGACGCGATGATTTCTTCTGCGGTTTTTTGAAGCACGGCATCGTTGCTAACCTGTTGTTTTATTAGGTTTTCGTTGCTTCTGAGATGTACATACCAGGTAACCAAGCGACCAAGGGAGACTTACACAAGAGAAGATGATGTCGGATTTGCTGGCAACCTCCTTCACAGTCTCGACCGGTATGGCTCCCAACTCCTTCAGAGGCTCTCCTCGCGAAATAGTTCTGTTTGTAAAGATGAGGGCTGGCGCGGAGACGCTCTTAAGGTATTTCTGAAGGTTCTTGGACATGCCAATTCCCATAGAACCGAGTCCTATCCACCCGACTTGTGGTTGTGACATGATGAGAATTGGTTCTCAGAAGCTCAAAGTGATTGGTGTGAGAGGTGAGAATTGGGTATTAGAAGTTGAAAGTGGTTGCGGGTATGAGAGATGAGATTTCTCAAAGAAGATGATGGATGCTTCTTTCCCCAAGTGAAACTCTGTACATACCTCTGTACTTATTACCGAATGGATTGCGATACCGCAGTCCCCCCCACGAGCTGACCCACAGAAAATTGCGCAGAATGGGAACAGAGACCCATTTCACGATTTCAAGTTGTGGTCATATTCCTATCCATCGCCCTGCATGCCCGATGCTCGGAAGTCGGAATGGAAGTCGGAACGGATGCGGAACCTTGGTTTGTAGAGCCGTCCCGAATAGAACCCGGGAAACGGATTGGGATTATTTCGACCGATCCTCCCTTCCTACCACGTGAGGAATTGCCGCCGATATCAGTTACGCCGATAGAACAACGAATAGTCTTCCGATAGAGAGGTCGTAGAGCAATCATCCATCCTGCTCTACAACTTCCCAGCCGCCGTCATCGACATCGACATCGACCCGGATGGAGTCTCAACCTTCAACCGCGAAACCCGAATATCGTCGGCTGAAGTACGTGTAGGCAAGCTAGATCGGATTGGCTCACGAACAACGGATTACCGATCCGGATCCGGACGTTTGCTGTTCTCGCAGGCCATGGTCTTAGCAGGCTCTGAGAGTACATGTGAACTTGATGAGACCATGCGATGCATGTTGGAGATTTGAAAGGAGCACAAAAAGAGCTGCAGACGACGTTAAGTGTCGCCGTAGCCTGGCAGCCGGTACAATCGGGAGTATTTGGGCTCAAGGTGGAGGACGGAGCAGGCGGCTCTTGGGCTTGATGGTTGCAGAGACAGGTGAAGGCAAGCCAGGTGCTGTCCCGAGGGACTTGGCAGACATTGAAATATGCCATGGGATATATTAGATCCTCAATCTCAGTGTCTCTGCCTAGCTCGAGCACTTTGTGAAAAACCAATATCCCAAATAATGATCAAGATGCAGACCTGGGCTTTTGCAACCGCGACGTGCAACATTTCTTGAAACTACAAACTGACGTTTTCCGCTATATCTGATTTGGAGGATATACGGAGACGCTGGAGCAGAGACATTCGCACGTATTTGGTTTCATAGCTCTGCTTTCTCCTCTTACGAATCGCCAGCTTTCCTTTTCGATCGCATTTTTGCGATATGTTTCTAGTCGAAAAGGGGGAAATGTTTCTGAATAGGTGGATAATCTGGACTGGTATATCTTTGTATCATTCGGTCGTCTTGTTGACTCGACTCACAACCTATTCACAGACAGCCTTGCAGCGGTGATGCCTGGAAGAATATGGAGAAATAGGGGCCTATTTTCAGAACCTATGGAGGTGGAGGAATAGACGAGCTGTAACATGTCAACCAATCCACTCCTATCTTGTCGTCGTTATCTGAATCTACCAATCCGCCATACACGAAGTTCGACTCGCGTCATTTCCGGAAGTAAACAAAAACCCAAAAAGTACCAAAAAAATGCCAAAAAAAAAAATCAGGGAAAAACGGCAAAACAAACTCCCACTTCATGGTGGGAGAAGAAAAGCCTCTGTAATGGGTTTTCATTTTGATCCGAGTTTTTTTTGTCGTGTGTGGTTTGGTGAATCTAAACCACTCGGCCCCAAATCGTTACAATTCCCTCCACACCAGCTTGACCTGAAGTTGACAACGTCTATGCCAACTATGCCACTGGATATTTTATTTGCGCACTATTTCGCTTCATGAACACAACGCTAGTTTTTGAGAGGGGAGGAGCGATGATGCCCACCATCACCTTGGCAGCTGCGTTTATTCACTTTTTTTCTACAGACCTGCTGGCGTTACAGTTTTATCCATGTTATGTGACAGGATCGAATATCACTGCAGATGGAGGAGGAGGAGTTTATACTCTCCATTTATGGCCGTCACTACACCCACCCGTCTTTGGTGATCAAGGTCAGGTCAAGATCTTCTGGGCTGCTAGTCGGGAACATCACGCCGAGGGGGTGGAGGTCCAGTTGAATCTTTTTTTCTACAGTACACGGTGTCTTTGCAGAAGAAGGATTAACCAAGCCCATTTCTGGTGATCCAAAAATCTCGCAGGCAGTGATAAAGGCTGCTGGTCAAGCGACCACATCTCTGACCTGAAAGCACAAGCCGCGGCGAACTGTACAGGCATTCACATGGATCCATCAACTAGTTGCTGATTACAGATGGCCGTGGCGCAGGTCACTCTCGAGACCTCGAGGCTCCTAGAAATGCTTTGAAACTGCTCTCAGTATTGTATGAAAGCTGTTTAAGACTCGACCAAATCAGCAGTCCGGCACCTGCTGAGAGGCATCACTAGAACCAAAAGGCGCCATTTTTGAAGCAGAAGACTTCGTGAAGGACGGAACCTCTTTCTGCCTCAAAATCTCCATGAATATACCCATATGCTCTCTGGTCTTCCGCTTCACTCGGACTGGGCCTGAAGTCTACGGGAACTGGTACGCCTCCAGCAGCAAACACTTGACGAAAACTGAAGGAAAACTTCACCATGGAAGCAGCCTCTGAGTGAGAAGGAAGAGCCCACGGAATGGTATCAATTTGAGTCAAATAAAAGGTCTTTCTTCCGAGGCAAAGCAAAATCCATTCCCCGGAGATCAAATAGCATCGAGGGTTTGTATTTCAAAGCTAAAGCTCGCTTGTTCACCGCCTCCCGAAGCGGCACAGTGAACTACCTACAGAGTAAACTGCCCGCCCCTCCATCCCCAACGCCACCAGCCTGCTTTGTAATTCTCACGCTCGACATCTCCCGCCGACGACTTTTTTCTCCCGAATTTTCTTCACTGCGAACTCTCCCGCTGAGAAAAACATGGCGCCCTCCCTCGACGCCCCCGAAAACGTCCAAGATGTCCTCAAGAACCCTCTCAAAGCCGCCCCCAAACTCGTGGCCCCCGAACCAGAGGTTAGCAGATTTCTCCCCTCAACTTCTCTTAGGAGCGGGTCATTTCATAGGTACCAGATTTAAGATGGTCCTTCGACCCCCC